CCATTGTTATATTTCAGAATTACAAATCTTCACCATTAACTTCGATATTGCCAATGAAAAAAACATTATAGGACTTTATTATCTCAAAATGCCAAATCAGTCTTATAAGTGGACTCTCGAGCACCTGAGTCTACATCTTATGGAGCTTTTATTAGAGCGGAATTGAAGATATATGTTGTAAACGGCAGGATAATTATGCACTAATTGATTTACAGTATGTTATGAGGGGAGACTAAATTATATTACGTATAGAGCAATATAAACTTGCACATCATCGTTGGCGTATTCATTCCTCTTGCGTATTGTACAAAGCACTGCACAGATATTTGAAATCTGCCTTTCTGTTTTTCCTAACACCATCGCCTTTATCACAGATACTTTTATTTTTATAGTACCTGTTATCGTTCACATTTCCAATGTAATCATTATCCTTTAGCCTTTACAAATTTCAGGTTGAGGTAGAATATTTCTTTAAGGAAAATAGTTTCTTACATTCTTCCTGTACAGACACAATGCAAGGTCACTGGCTCACCGAAGTCGAACACGAACCCACACCGGGCAGCCCTTCCACGTGATGGGTCGGAGGGGAAGGGGACACGGGCACGGTTTCTCTCCGTGCTTCAGTAAATATGTACGTAATGTGATCGTGCATCTTATTAATATGCATCTACACACTCATCTATACATTTGCATAGTAATCATTGCATCCATTGTCTAATTTCCGATATAGAATAGTAAATAGACTCCGGCTTTGTTCCGCTAAGCTGTTAGAATGATCATTTTGCTGATGTTGTAATCATGACATGGTATTGCTGTGCATATCAACTTTAATGATAAAAGCATGGTTATATTACATTTGATATAATTCCAAAACTGTTTTCATTATTATTCTCAGAATAAATATTTATCACGACTGCTATCTATTCCTGTTTATCGCGAGAATTGAGGATATTTTGAACATTTATGAATGTGAAAAATACTGACTGTAAATTGCATTAATAACAAAACTCCCTGGTGGTTAATTGACAGTTGTGTTATTCAAACGAAATTAGTGTTTTTGCTACATTAAAACATTTGCAGCATTAAAATAAAAACTTTCAACATGGTAATACATCAAGAGTTCGAAAACATAATTTCGAGAGGGGGGGGGGATTGTCATTCATTATGAAGAGACGGAAAAAAGAAAAAATGTTCACAAGTATTATTAACCATTTGCAATAGTTGTCATCGTTGCATTTATTATTTATTTATTTATTATTTATCATTTATTTTTATTTATTTAAATCATTTATTTTATTTATATTTAATCATTTATTTATTTATTTATTTAAATTATTTTTTATTTATTTATTATTATTTTATTTTTATTTATTTATTTATTTATTATTTATTTTTTTTTTCGGGAACAAGAAGTCAAGGTTATGAAATTGATGGTTATTTGATAATTGTGATTAAAATTCTTTAATGAAGTTCCTTGATCATATAAACATTATCCGTATCATTTATCACCATCACCATAACCATCGTCATCATTATCAATATGATCATCATCATTAGCAGCAACATCATCATCATCACCATCATCACTGTCATGGTTATCATTATCATTCTGACAATTTTCATTAATGTTTGTATTATTGTTATTATCGCTATTCTGACGTTATTGCATTATGGTGGTTCATATAAGAATTATTGTCGTCATTTTTTGTTGTTTATGGAGCTTTATTATCATAATTACTGTTAGCATTTTTATTATTATTGTTATCACTAAAATTATCAAATTTATTACAAATATTTTAAATTTTTATAATTACCTTTATTATTATCATCATTATTGTTATTATAATTACTATTATCAATTATTATTATTATTATTATTATCAGTATTATTATTACTTTATTATTATTTTATTATAAATATTATCATTATTATTATCAATATTGTTATTGTAATTACATTCAATATTATTATTATCATTATTTCATTTAAATTACTTTTATTATTATTGTTAGTATTATTATGAATTTTGTCATCATAATTACTGATATCATTATCATCATTATTATTATAATCCTCATCATCATTGCTACTAGACTGGTTATTATTATATTATTATTATATATTATTATTATTATTATTATTATTATTATTATTATTATTATTATTATTATTATTATTATTATTATTATTATTATTATTATTATTATCATCATGATTATTTTTTATTATTACTAGCATGATTATTGCTATTGCCAATATTACTTTCACTATTATTGTTACTAGCATTATTATGATTTTATGAATATCAATATCGTGATTTTCTTACTGTTATTGTTTATGTTTCTGTTATTCCTTTATTAATCTATAATATCATCACTTTCATTCTTATTTGTATCGGTTATTATCAATTTTGCTTTGTTGTCATTATTATTATTATCAATTTTATTATCATTATCAGTATGGTTGTCATTATTATTATTACTACTTATTATCTTCATCTTTGTTACCATCATCATTGTTATTTGTTATTCATTTTTATTATAATAACAATAATAATTACTATTATTATTATTAGCATTATTATTGTTGTTGTTATTGTTGTTGTTGTTAGTTATATTATTATTATAATTCTTATTATTATCATTATTACTATCATTGTTATTTTTATCGTCACTATGATTATTATTATTATCATCATTATTTTCGTCATCATCATTATTATTATTATTGTTATTGTTATTATTATCATTATGTGCATCATCATTATCATTATTGTTATTGTTATTATCATTATCATCCTTATTATCATTTTCGTAATCACCATTGTTATTTCCACCACAATCCTCATTATCATTATTTTCCCTATTGTTGTTGTTCATATTGTTGTTGCTATCATTATTATCAGTAATTTTATCATCAATGGTTGTAGATAGTACTAGCATTTTTAGTAGTTGTGTTATTATTATGTTATTATTTTTTTCTCATTGTTATTATTATTATTTTAATTATCATTACTAATATCATCGTTATTCTTTTTTTATCATTATTAATATTTTCATTGTTATTATTATCATTGTTTTTATTATTATTATTATTGTTATATTATTATTATTATTATTATTATTATTATTATTATTATTATTATTATTATTATTATTATTATTATTAGCCGTTATTATTATCGTTATCGTTATTATTACTATTATTATGTTATGTTTACTATTACTATTATAATTATTTCTATTGTCATAATTATCATTATTATTATCATCATCATTATTATTATAATTTTTATTATCATCATCATTATTATTATAATTTCTATTATCATCATCATTATTATTATAATTTTTATAATCATTATAATTAATATTATCATAATCATTATTGTCATTTTATTATCATTATTATTATTATTATTATAACTATAACTAAACGATAACTATAACTATAACTATATTAATAATAATTATCATTATTATGTTATTGTTATTGCTATTATTATTATTATTATCATTATTACTACTACTATCAATATTATTTTATTAACATTATTGTTATTATTGTTATTATAATTATCACCATTATTATTGTTTTTATTATTATCATTACCATTATTATCATAATCATCATCATCATTATTTCTACCATAATAATTAATTGATATTATGATTACATTTGTTATTATCTTTATTAATTTCATTTCTATTATCACTATTAATATTATTGTAGTTTTTTTATGTTATTTTTTGTGATAGTGGTTTTCATTCTTGGAGTATCATTGTTTTTATTATTATCATTATCGTTACCATCATCATTATTATTATTATCACCATGAGTTTTCATCATAATAAATATTATCATCATCACAGCTATTATTATCATTATTATTATTATCATTCATATTGTCATTAATATTACTATTATTTTACTAATAGTGTCATTGTTGTGTTACTATTGTTATTATTATCATTATCATCATCATTATTCTCTTATTATTTTTATTATTATTACTATTATTATTATCATAATTATTATTGCTTTTATCATAATTATCATTATTATTATTGTTATTATCATTATTATCTTATGTTATTGTTATAGTTATTATTATTTTTATTATTATTTTCATTGCCATAATCATGATCATCATCAGTCGCATTAGATTCAGCTTTATCACGCTTATCACGTTATTACAGTTATTTTCTCCAAAATCTTTATCATTATTATTAACAGTAGGAATGATTCTGCCATCTCTATTATTTCTATTATCATTTTCTTTGTGAAGGAGATGGTGATGACTCTTGTTAATATTTCTATATTACTAATGTGATTACTTTTATTATTGATAATACTGGAGTTATCTTTATTAGATATGTATCTCTCTATCTATCTATCTATCTATCTATCTATGCACACACACACACACACACACACACACACACACACACACACACACACACACACACACACACACATACTCACCATCACAATACTGTATAAGATGTAACACTGGTTTTGTTGTTTTTATCATTTCTGTAATTCATTCTTATCTAAGTATATTAGTAATTATTTTTCTACTGGTTTTAATTTTTAAGTCATTATTATTCGCAATGTGAACAAAATCCCTATTATCAGTTGTGTTACTATATCACCATCATCAATAATGCGCTGTAATCAATAAGAATATAATCGTTACCGTAATTATCATTAGTTTCATTATCCCCTCCATCTTTATCATTTATATCACACTTACTACTACTAACATTGGTATTATCTTTATCGTCTTAAACTAGAATAAGTGTCCTTTTGTCTCTTCTTCCATTTTTACTTCTTAGGAGACACAGTGTATACATAGCGTGTGGGTAAGACCATGCAATTCCCTAATCCATCCACCTGCTGTGTATTTTCTGCCAATAAATGACAGCTAGAAATTATTCTTACATGTATGGTACATTTGGCTTAAGGAAACGATCTCATTTTAGAAAGTGTAGTTTTTATTAATATATTACAATAACCTTTTCACACAATAGCAAAATTGTATCCGTGTTTTTTTATTATTATTCATTTTTCTTCCTTTATTTTCTTGGTTCTTCCTGACATTCAAAAATATATATTACACACAGACACATAAGACGGGTGATCCTGTGCAAGCAACCCTGCCCTCTATGGCTGCAACCTGACAGGTATCAGTGACAAGAACAAAGGACAGTGGTAGACTATATAGTTTCATCATCCAGACAGCTGGCTCTTTTTAGAACTCTCACTCCTTTCCTGGCTACTCGTTCATTCTTTCTTGACTTCTGATTGTTTGTGTGTTGTAGCATGTTTTCTGTTTTATTTTTATTTTTTTCCTTCTCACTCTCGCTTATAGTGTTATATATTCCAAGCACAGCTCGCTCTTTTTAGAACTCTTACTCTTTTCCTGGTTACTCGTTCATTCTAGCTTGACCTGATTGTCTGTGTGTTGGTGTATATTTTCTGTTTTATTTTTCTGTTATATATATTCCAGGCACGAGGGAGTTCTTGGAGTTTAATCGTGTTTGCATTACACTGATGTTGTTCGCAGAGATGTTTTGATCATGTGGTTAAGAGTTTGTGCTTCTACGTAATACATGTTCGAGGTACTTTATTCATCTTTTCACTTCGCTTATAAACAAAGATGTTAAACTTGTGTAGTGATGCAACTTTGTCAAAAATATTTGTTCGTGTGTTTTAGTTTTTTTTTTTCACTTCTCAACGAGTGTTTCCATCATTTTACCATATCTGATAGTCCTGTTTCGAAATAGCTGGCTGTCTGCAAGATGGTTTAGTCACTGCTGCTTTGAAAATGCTACTATACAGCTACCTAATTTACAGTGTTCCAAATTTTCTGCCTTGTATATTTTTTACGGATTTTTTAAAAATCATTTTTTTGACAAATAACCACATCAAGACATGTGGCTAATAGTGCACACATCAAAAAATATATATTGAAAAAAATGATTAGTTAACAATGCTCTAGACAGCACACTATGATTTTCTTCATTTAATTCTAAACTTTTTGTTCTTACTCTCCGATTGTGCTCAAGGCAGATGGCAACATCTTTTTTATCAGATGATTGGCAAAGAGTAAAATATTCCTTGAGAGACGCTATACTAGAACCGCAATTGGCGACAAACACTTGGATTCAAATATTACCGTTTGTATGTCTTCACGGCAGCACAGAGGATTCACATATAAAACAGGGAGTCATCATAGCTTTCTTTCAGTGTTCAAGTATTGGAATGATAAATTTCTCGTCTTTGGTATTTCCTTTCGTGCACTTGTCTCGGAACTGCTTGTAGCGCGACTCTGTGCATCGTCGGAGTTATCTGGTACAAATATTGTCATTGCCGTTTGACAGTTTAACACTCTTTCATATCCTTTTGGCGAGCATGGCACCACCGAGACCACACTGCTGTAGATGGCGCCAGATTAGCTCCCGTGCATGGCGCCGCAGTGCTCGGCTCGCCATGCCCGACGCCGCATCGCCTACGCCCGCGCTTGGCGTGGGAGCGTTTCGGCTCGCTGTGGCGGCGCCGCCCGCGTTGCGCTCGCTGCTTAAGCTAGAATACGTGGCTATTTAGTAATATCACAAGCAACACACATCATCCACTCCGAGGGAGGTCATGGCGCAGGCAATTTCATCATCTGAGCGCCAGTGGGTCAACGAGGGCGTTGCTGAGGGCGTGAAGAAGGAGTGGGAGCAGTATGGGCGTGAGAATCCCGGCGGACGGGGCCACGCCCACGCCCGTCTGCATCGCAGCCGGTTGTTCACCTGCGAAGGATAGAAGGAATAGTAAAAATTAAAGGGAAGTGAATAAAAGAATAGAAAATGAAAATTATCAGAGAAAGAGAAAATTGCAAACGGATAATGTTCATTTGCAGGTACGGATATACGAATGAGAATTTCTCGTTCTGTTAATTACTTCAAATAAAGAGCCCCAGCTGGCAGTAAAGTCAATCTTTCCGAAAATGGGCAATTTAGCTCTTTATTACTCTCTAAATGTAAAAAAGATATTATAAAGAATATGATATGAGGCAGCGCGGTACTTAAGGGAGTGGCTATATATATTATTCAAATGCTTTATTCTTTTGGAGTTGAGGATGGATCCAGCCCTAAAATATTATGTGTGTGAGTCCTAGCGAGAGAGAGAGAGAGAAAAAAAAAAGTACATATACATTCATACACACGCAAACATACATATAGATATATATATATGTGTGTCAATATATATAATATATATATATATATATAATATATATATATATATATATATATATATATATATATATAATATATATATATATATATATATATTATATATATATATATATATATATATATATATATATATATATATATATATATATATATATATATATAAATATATATATATATATATATATATATATATATATATATATATATATATATATATATATATATATATATATATATATATATATATTATATATATATATATATATATATATATATATATATATATATATATATATATATATATATATATTATATATATATATATATATATATATATATATATATATATATATATATATATATATATATATATATATATATATATATTATATATATATATATATATATATATATATATATATATATAATACACACACTTACACACACACACACACACACACACACACACAACACACACACACACACACACACACACACACACACACATACATATATATATATATATATATATATATATATATATA